CCAACCCCCCAGCCTCTACCCCAGATCCCCCTGACTCCACCCACCACACTCCCTAGCTCCACCTACCATATACCCCTAGCTCCATCACGCACCCCTGCCCACCCACCACACACCCCTGGCTCCACCCCTCCTCCTGACTCCACTACACCCCCCCTGGCTCCACCCCCTTCCTCCTGACTCCACCCCACATCCCCTGGCTCCACCCCTTCCTCCTGACTCCACCCACCCACACCCCCTGGCTCCACCCCACACCCCCTGGCTCCACCCCTCCTCCTGACCTCCACCCACCCCACACCCCCTGGCTCCACCCCACCCCCCTGGGCTCCACCCCTTCCTCCTGACTCCACCCACCCTACACCCCCTGGCTCCACCCCCCTCACCACACCCATTTTCTTCCTGCTCTGTATCTCCTCATTATCGTCTCTGACATGTTTCTTTGTGAATTACGCAAGCCGAGTTCCTCCCGCTGTGATTAAAACAAAGTAATTTCTAAAATGTGATTAAGAAAAAAAATATATAATTCTCCTCTGGATAATGAGCAAGATCGGGATTAATTATAATCAGGCCGTCAGTTTGTTGCAAGACTTATTCGTCGACCACCGAATGAATGCGAATTTGATGCATGCAAGATCAGTTTAAAAGACGTGGTTAGTCGATGAAAAATACATTGTGCATGAAACAGAGTGCGCGGAGATAATACTTAATGTACATTAAATTTCTTCGGATATTGAAATATGAATTTTACTATCTTACCGAACTGACATTTGTAAGTGTAAAAGCTGAAAGGTGACAGAAAGATACAAGGATTTTACGATAAAAGAGAGAAATATTAATTTGTATTAGGTCATTCACTACAGTACGAGTGGAAACTGTTGGCATGGATGAAGAAATCTTTTCGAGACTTTTTTTGTATTCTCACTCCTCTCTCTCCCTTCCTTCTGCATTCTGCTTTTCATTTTCTCCCTTCTCTCTTTCTCCTTGCTCTCTCTCCCTCCCTTTCTTCTACACTCTCCTCTCTATTCTCTTTTTTCTCCATTCTCTCTCTCCTCTCCCTTTCTTTTATCCTGCACTTTCCTCTCTGTTTTCTTTCTCCTCTCTTTCTTCCCCTTTCTCTCTCACTCCTTTCCCTCCCTTCCTTCTGCCCACTCCACTCTATTTTTTTGCAGTGCCAGAAACTGCATTATATATATATATATATATATATATATATATATATATTATAATATATATAATATAATATATATATATATATATATATATATAATATATATATATATATATATATATATATATATTGTGCTGTGTGTGTGTGTGTGTGTGTGTGTGTGTGTGTGTGTGTGTGTGTGTGTGTGTGTGTGTGTGTGTGTGTGTGTATTGTATGTATATATATACATAACATACATACCATACATACACACACACACACACACACACACACCACACACACACACACACACACACACACACACACACAAGATATATATATAATATATATATATATATATATACTATATATATATATATATATATATATATACACACACACACACACACACACACACACACACACACACCACACACACACACACACACACACACACACACACACACACACATAGATTACAATAGTGATATATATATATAATATATATATATATAGATACATATAGTATACAATATAGTCATACATAATATATATAACTATATAGTATATCTATCATGTAGTATATAAGTAGTAAAATATAATAAATATACTGGATAATGTAGGTATTATTATAATAATATACTGATATATGTATAGAATATCGTATATCTATATACTGTGTATGATCTATATTCTGGGGTGTATATCTATCTATCTATCGATCTATATGATGTACACACACACACGCCTTGACTTGCCGTGACCATGTCCACAACACAACATATATTGGTATATATGTGCGATCTAGGCGTGTGTGATATATATATAATTATTACTATAGTATAAGTATATAATATACATGTGTATACATATATATAGATATTGTGTACCTGTATATATATATACTATGTATTGTTGAGTATGTGATCTAATAAAACAAATATATATATGATTATATATATATATAATATACTATATAGTATATAATAATTATATATATATATAGTTAATAATTAATATTATATGTATATGTATAATATAAATTAATATATATATAATATGTGTGTGAGGTATGTACATGAGGGTGTGGGTGTGTGTGTGTGTGTTGATGTGTGATGTTGTGCGGTATATAAAATATAAATAAATAATAAAATGAAACTTTGGAAAAATAAAAATTTTTAATAAATAAACGCCACACATAAAACTAGGCATTCTTACCTCCCACAACAAAATCCCCCAACACTTATTTACCGACGGTTAAGGCACGGCTGCGGCCCTTAGAATATATGCGGCCCCCGCCGTATACCGCGCAGTCTAGATATTTAGAGTAGAATAATGCTACACTACACCGACCGACAGCGTGATCTCACGACCACACGACAACACCACCAACGACACACACACCGTAGCACACACACACACCACCATCACATCACGACACCCCGTTGCAATCGAGTCGTTCGCGGAATGACCTGATACCTTGATGGACGCCGTGTTTACGATTTGCCACTTACGTAGCGTCAATAAGCGTAATTTATGAATGAGGTACGGTCATATGGAGTGGCGGATCCCAAAGTGGATGAGTACTGACTCCGAACTTTGAATGTACTCATGCCCGTTAAATATAGGTTTCTGTCTACATATAATGAATATATTAGCTATATAATACATAATATCATGCAACAAACTACACGTATCATATATTAATGATTAGTGTATATAGTATATAATATAATACATATTATATATAATTAGTAATACTATATAAAATATATTTATATATATATATATATTACTATATAGTGCGTGCTAAGTATTCCTATAGTAGTTAGTATGGTGATATGTGAGTTAGATGTGTGTATACATATATATGGCTATATATTTAGTACGCGTGTGTGTGAAATATGTATGGCCGTTGCGTGATGTAGTATAGTGTGTTGTGTGTCAAATAGTAGGACCCCAATTGTTCCCAGTATGTGGTATGAGAGTGTGTGTGTGGCCTTGTACCGTGGTGAGTTAGTAGGTTATTAATGTAGGTTAGTATTATGCGTGGTGGTGTTGTATTTGCTCCCTATTTCCAACCCTCTGTGTGTGAGAGATAGTCGACAGCCTGAAAAAAATCTTGTTTGAGGATTTGCCATATTATATATTGATTGAATATCACGGAATACCAGTTTATAAGCACAGAAAAAAAAAGTTTTGTATGATTTTTTTGCGTATGTATATTTTACAACACACACATTACGCATCCTACATTAGACATACTGAGTATAGTACACACACACATTATGCATACCACACAGCCGCGCCATACGTGGCATGCTGGACCACACAAATAGTACACACGAGCTCACACGACACGGGCAGAGGTCCACTACAACAGCCATACAATGTCACACACACAAGCGCAAGCTCGGCGGACATCGATCACGATCTATCACCACACCGAATCATAGCACACACACAGCACACACACACACACGCGAACGGGCCACACACACACACAACGCGCAAGCACACACACACACACACGGCTGCACGCACGCCACACATATATGCGTGTGTTTGTGCATGGATATATGTATGCACTCATGCGAAACCTAACGGCAGGCAGATCAGGTCCGAGCGCCACCTGAGGCCGCCACCTCCCGCCTTCAATTACGCTGACGCAGAGTGCAAATCGTAAACACGGCGTCCCATCAAGGCGGCTTCCGCGAACGACTCGTGAACGGGGCGAGAGTCACGTTCTCGGTCGTCTGATTCACCGCCTGATCACAGCTGGGGCGGCGGGGCTCAATTCAGGGCCGTCGCCGCCTCCGTCAGGAAAAGTGATGGGGATTTTGTTGTGGAGGAGAATGCCTAGTTTGTGTGCGTTTTTTATTTTATTTTACTTTTTTTTCTTTATCTATATAATATTATATATATTATATATATATATATATATAATATATATATTTTTTTAGACATACACACACACACACACCCACACGCCTAGTCGCACACACACACACATACAAAAAGTTAGGACAGCACGCCATTTTTTTCTTTTCACTTTAAGTTCAATTTACCATATCTTAACGAACAAAGAACGTCTCGCCCAGAATTCAAAATCAGTCCTTCCTTAAATTCGCATGAAATAGACACTTGACGAAAGATTAACCATCGTCCTATTACCTCAGGGAATCTGATATCGTCGCTTTAAGATTCAAGGGGAAAGTCTTGGCCACGGAAGTTCAGCGGTCTTTAGAGTTACCAATATTGTAAGGGGAACGAACACATCTTTGAATCTCAATTTATTGTTTATGTCAGAGTAGTAGATGTATGTATAAAAAAATATATATATATTAGTGTACGTCACACGAAAATCCAACAAATTCATATTCTTTGTCCTACAACAAAAATATACCCCTCTAAGCCTAAAAATAAAATAAAAAATAAAACGATAAATGATCTAGATGGAACAAGTGAAACCTCAATATTATGCAAGAGAAAATCAGCCGAGCCAACTTGGTGGCAACTCCGCTCAGGCGACTCCGCCCGGAAGCGCCGACAATATTGCTTGCACGTATGCAAATGGGAGTGGATAAGCAAATAAATGAACACATATATACATACATATATATATATATACATATATATATATATATATATATATATATATATATATATATATATATATATATATATATATATATATATATATATATGTGTGTGTGTGTGTGTGTGTGTGTGTGTGTGTGTGTGTGTGTGTGTGTGTGTGTGTGTGTGTGTGTGTGTGTGTGTATTGTGTGTGTGTGTGTATATAGTTATAGATATATATACATATATATCTATATCTATACACACGCAGAAGTCCATGCGCAAGAACCCCGTGGAGCGCGCCATGCCAAGGCGGACCTCGGAACTCGAGTCCACCGAGTGGATCGACACCTTCAACCTCGCCGGTGAGGAGCTGATCGCCTTCGTGTCCGAGCCCAGGCAGCCCAAGGAGGACAAGAAGGAGGACAAGAGGAGGCAAGAGAAGGCAAGAGGAGGCAAGAGAAGTGAGCCTTCAAGACCGACAAGATGGAGGAGAAGCCCAAGCCGACCAAGAACGGCTATCTGGTCGTGGACGGGAACCAGCATGTGATCGCCCTGGGCACTCCCGCCTCATACGAAGTCCTCCTCGAGCAGAAGCTCAAGGTGCCCGCCAAGAAGGACGGCCACAGCGAGCAGATCGCAGAAGCGGCAGCAGAAAGCCGAGGAGAACCGCGCTCAGCACCTCAAGTTGGTGGTGGAGCAGATGAGGAATTCGTTCGTTGCAAGGACGGGCGAACTGCTGATTGGAGAGCCGTTGGTGGCAGGGCCTGGCGACATGAAGGCCGCCCTCGTCAAGCTCCTGCCGCAGCAGCTAGCCAAGAGCGCCACAAGTACGAACACCAGCCAGTCCGGGAAGTCGGGCTTGTGGGAGCTGGTGCAGGGGCTGCTTGCGGAGGAGTTCAAGCGCGAGAGGGAGCGGCTGGGACTCAAGCCCAAGAAATACGTGCCTGGCATGCGCTGCCCATCACTTAGCTCGGCAAGCCCCAGCAGGTTGTCAGCAGGTCGACAACCCCAGCAGGTCGCAAGCAGGTCGCAAGCCCAGCAGGTCGACAAAGCCCAGCAGGTCGACAGCCCCAGCAGGTCGCAAGCCCCAGCAGGTCGACAAGCCCAGCAGCAGGTCGACAAGCCCCAGCAGGTCGACAAGCCCCAGCAGGTCGGCAAGAGGTCGCAACCAGCGGCGCAAGCCCAGCAGGTCGGCAAGCCCACAGGTCGGCAAGCCCAGCAGGTCGACAAGCCCCAGCAGGTCGCAAGCCCAGCAGGTCGCAAGCTCCACCAGGTCGACAAGCCCCAGCAGGTCGCAAGCTCCAGCCAGGTCGACAAGCCCCAGCAGGTCGGCAAGGTCGACAAGCCCCAGCAGGTCGACAAGAGCAGGTCGGCAAGCTCCACCAAGTCGACAAGCCCCAGCAGGTCGACAAGCCCCAGCAGGTCGGCAAGCCCCAGCAGGTCGGCAAGCACCAGTCGACAAGCCCAGCAGGTCGACAAGCCCCAGCAGGTCGGCAAGCCCCATCAGGTTCGGCAAGCCCAGCAGGTCGGACAAAGCCAGGTCGCAAGCAGGTCGACAAGCCTCCAGCAGGTCGACAAGCCCCAGCAGCCCCAGCGGCAAGCTCCAGCTAGGTCGCAAGCCCCAGCAGGTCGACAAGCAAGCCCCAGCAGGTCGCAAGCCCCCAGCAGGTCGGCAAGCCAGGTCGAACCAAGCCCACAGCAGGTCGACAAGCCCCAGCAGGTCGACAAGCTCCACCAGGTCGACAAGCTCCAGCAGGTCGACAAGCAGGTCGACAGCACCCCAGCAGGTCGGCAAGCTCCACCAGGTCGACAAGCCCCAGCAGGTCGGCAAGCCCCAGCAGGTTGCAAGCCCAGGCAACCTCCAGCAGGTCGACAAGCCCCAGCAGGTCAGGTCGGCAAGCTCCAACAGGTCGACAAGCCCCAGCAGGTCGACAACCCAGCAGGTCGGCAAGCTCCACAGGTCGACAAGCCCCAGCAGGTCGACAAGCCCCAGCAAGGTCGACAAGCCCCAGCAGGTCGGCAAGCAGGTCGACAAGCCCCAGCAGGTCGACAAGCCCCAGCAGGTCGGCAAGCTCCACCAGGTCGACAAGCCCCAGCAGGTCGACAAGCCCCAGCAGGTTGCAAGCGACCAGGTCGACCAAGCCCCCCAGCCAGGTCGGCAAGCAAGCAGAGTCGACAAGCCCAGCAGGTAGGCAAGCCCCAGCAGGTCCAACCCAGCAGGTCGACAAGCTCGGCAACGCAAACAGCAAGCGCCCACAGGTCGGCAAGCTCACAGGTCGACAACCCCAAGCAGGTCGACAAGCCCCCAGCAAGCGTCGACAAAGCTCCAACCCAGGTCGGCAAGCTCCACCAGGTCGGCAAGCCCCCAGCAGGGTCGACAAGCCCCAGCAGGTTCGACCAAGCCCCAGCAGGTCGACAAAGCCCCAGCAGTCGGCAAGGCTCCAGCAGGTCGCACAAGCCCCAGCAGGTCGGCAAGCTCCACCAGGTCGGCAAGCCACCACCAAGTGCCCCCAGGCAGGTCGGCAAGCCCCAGCAGGTCGCAAGCCCCAGCAGGTCGGCAAGCCCCAGCAGGTCGGCAAGCCCCAGCAGGTCGACAAGCCCCAGCAGCGTCGGCAAGCAGGTGCAAGCCCCAGCATCGGCAAGCCCCAGCGTCGACAAGCAGCAGGTGGCAAGCCACAAAGCAGGTGGCAAGACAGGGTTCGGCAAGCCCCAGCAGTCGACAAGCCTCCAGCAGCGTCCTCAGAAACCGAGTCCACCGAGTGCGTTCGACTTCAACCTCGCCGATGAGGAGCTGATCGCCTTCGTGTCCGATCCCAAGCAGCTCAAGGAGGACATGAAGGAGACAAGCGAGAAGTGAAGCCTTCCAAGACCGACAAGATGGAGGAGTAGCCCCAAGCCGACCAAGAACGGCCTATCTGGTCGTGGACGGGAACCAGCATGTGATCGCCCTGGCACACTCCGCCCATACGAAGTCCTCCTCGAGCAGAAGCTCAAGTTACCCTCCAAGAAGGACGGCCACAGCGAGCAGATCGGAAGAAAACTGCAGCAGAAGGCCCAGAAGAACCGCGCTCTCAGCACCTCAAGTTGGTTGTGGAGGCAGATGAGAAGTCGTTCGTTGCAAGACGGCGAACTGCCGTTTGGAGAGCCGTTGTGGCAGGCCTGCCGCGCAGCAGCTAGCCCAGAGCGCCACAAGTTACGAACACCAGCCAGTCCGGGAAGTCGGGCTTGTGAATGTTGCAGGGCTGCTTGCGGAGGGTTCAAGCGCGAGACGGAGTGGCTGGGACTCAAGCCCAAGAAATACGTGCCTGGCATGCAGCTGCCCATCATAGCAGGTGCCCAGCAGGTCGGCAAGCCCCCCAGCAGGTCGCGGAGCCCCAGCAGGTCTGCAAGCCCCCAGCAGGTCCGGCAAGCCCCAGCAGGTCGACAAGCCCCCAGCAGGTCAAGCCCCAAGCAGTCAAGCCCCAGCAGGTCGACAAGCCCCAGCAGGTCGGCAAGAAGCCCCAGCAGGTCCGGAAAACCCCAGCAGGTCGGCAAGCTCCACCAGGTCGGCAAAGCCCAGCAGGTCGGCAAGCCCCAGCAGGTCGGCAAGCCCCAGCAGGACGGCAAGCCCAGCAGGTCGGCAAGCCCCAGCAGGTCCGCAGGCCCAGCAGGTCGACAAGCCCCAGCAGGTCGACAAGCCCCAGCAGGTCGACAAGCCCCAGCAGGTCGGCAAGCTCCACCAGGTTCAGCAGGTCGACAAGCCAGGTCGGGCAAGCCCCAGCAGGTCAGCAGGTCGGCAAGCCCCAGCAGGTCGACAAGCCCCAGCAGGTCGACAAGCTCCACCAGGTCGACAAGCCCCAGCAGGTCAAGCAGGTCGGCAAGCCCAGCAGGTCGACAAGCCCCAACAAGTCGGCAAGCCAGCAGCAGGTCGACAAGCCCCAGCAGGTCGGGCCACCAGCTCGGCAAGCTCCCACCAGGTCGACAAGCCCCAGCAGGCGGCAAAGGTCAGGTCGGCAAGCCCCAGCAGGTCGACAAGCCCCAGCAGGTCGGCAAGCTCCACCAGGTCGGCAAGCCCCAGCAGGTCGGCAAGCCCCCAGCGTCGGCAAGCCCCACCAGGTACGACAAGCACACACAAGCAGGCAAGAGAGAAGCAGCCTGCCAACGCCAGCAGGTCGGCAAAAGCCCCAGCAGGTCGGCAAGCCCGCAGCAGGTCGGGAACAAGCCCCCAGCAGGTCGCCAAAGCCCCACCAGGTCGACAATGCACACACAAGCAGGCAAAGAGAAGAGGCCAAACCCAGCAGGTCCGGCCTCAGCCACGCCAGCCCACAGCAGGTCGGCAAGCCCCAGCAGGTCGGCAAGCCCCCACCAGGTCGACAAGCCACACAGCAAGCAGGCAAAGAGAGGAAGCAGCCTGCCAAACCCAGCAGCCTGCCAAAGTCGGCAAGCCAGCAGGTCGGCAAGCCCCAGCAGGTCGCAAGCCCCAGCAGGTCCAAAGACCAGTCGGCAAGCACACACAGCAGGCAAAAGAGAGGAAGCAGCCTGCCAAACACCAGCAGGCGAGCAAGGAGAAGGAGGCCGCCCAGCTCAAGAAGGAGCAGAGCAGGAAGGGCAAGAAGCGTTACAGCTGATGAGCGGGAGGCGAAGCTTCCCTGCGGCCTCGCCTCCGTCAGGATTTAAAGATTAAGATTTAAAGATTTAGTTTTAATTCCCATGGATATTCTTTGCTTGGCATACTGGTCTGTTTTATTTTGCCCAATGCAATCCCCCTGTGTGCAAGGAGTGAGCCGGGGAGAAGAGAAGGGAGAGAGAGAGAGAGAGAGAAGAGAAGAGAAGAGAGAGAGAGAGAGAGAAGAAAGAGACAGAGAGACAGATGAAGAGAAAAAGAAAAAGAGAGAGAGGAGAGGAGAGGAAGAGAGAAGAGGAGAGAGAAGGAGACAGAGAAGAGAGAGAATGAGAAGAGAGATGGATTACCACTCACTGGCCGGGGCGTCGGGCATTGAACGTAGGTCCGCAAGATTGCCATAGGACCAGCACCTTACCGCTTGCCGCCAGGGAGACAGCGCAAGAGTGCTAGCGAAGGGACGCCTCGACGAAGACCCAATGCAGCGATTGCGCTGAAGAATCCGCTCAGCTATTGTAGAACAAAAAAGAAAGAAGAAAAAAAGAAAGGAAAAGGAAAAAGGATCTTTTGTTGTTAAAAAAAGAAATCAATTTTAGTTTCACGCAAAAATAGGAAAGATGTGTTTTATCCACTTAGTAAGGAAGGAAGGAATTTTTTTTTTTGTTGGAAAAAATCCTTTTAATTATTTTGGAGAAATCCGCTTGATTTTGAAGAAAACACTTTGAATGAATATTTTAGATATAATGCAAAAGGAAGAATAACTGAAAAAAAAGAAAAAGAGAAATACGTAATGAAGTATGGAAGAGAGAGAGAGAGAGTATACCCCAAAGATGTAATGTTAGGAAGAAGAAAGGTAAAGAGAAGGACAGAGATAATAAGGTAATCCGTGTGAGAGTGGGCAACAGAGGGAAGGAAAAAAAGTCCTAAACTATATCTATCTACCATATCGATGGTGGTGAAGAGAACGGAATCACACGAGAATGAGAATAATATAGTATATATATATATATGTATAGACTAGAATATATAATAGTATATATATATATATATATAATATATATATGTAATAGGTATATATATATACACACACACACCACACACACAACACACACACACAACACACACACCACACACAACACACACACACACACACATAATATAAAGAAGAGCAATAAGAAATAGATAAGAGATATAGAGAGAGAGGTACTAGTATAGATAGAGAGAGATAGACCAGATATATATAGAGAGAGGAGAGACAAAGAGAGATATGAATAGAGATGAGAAGAGAAAAAGAGAAGAAGATAGAAGAAGAAGATGAGAGTATATGTGATCAGT